AGTTAAACGTAATGATGGTAAAGAGTATTTACGAATTAGATTCACAGATCATAGTAAGCGAAGATCCGTTATCCAAGCTATTCACCAGGATAAATTCAAGTTATATACGATCTGTGAAGACTCACTTAGTAGTAAATATGGACAATTTATCACTCGTAGTCGAATATACATGAATGGGAAAGAAGATTATTTCCATGTTTTAGGTTTCTTTATACTTAAGGATGAAACATGTGTACTCTCAATAGGCGAACATGAGAACTGCCTTAAATATGACAAAGATGTTATCTTTTTAGATGATGAATTCTTTTGCAATAAGATAGTACATGCATTTGATCTGGAAACGACATTTTTACAAAACTTCAATCATGAAATTAAAAAAAAAGATATGGTTAGACGTGGTAGTACCCAATTGACCGTGCATATATGAACGTTAGTGTTTTTACCCAAGGTAATGATCCTGTGCCACTGGAGTGATTTGCCTGCTCGATACCGGAACCAATACACCACTTCGATATGAATCGGAAGAGAAAATCAAGGAAAGAATATGAAAGATGGTGAACGACATAACAAAGTTTCAAAAAGTTGACCCTGAGACTATAAAGACCATGGTAAATTTTTCTGAGAAAAAATATGAGGAAATGGTCATGGGTGAACGTGAGGCAATTCGTATGTTTATTGATAATATGGGAAATATTATAAAGTTTCTAATACACGTGATAAAAGTTCAGGAAGAACATGACTTCTATCGAGCGTTTGCAAAGATACAGAATAACATCAAACCACATGTGATCATCGGCCATAATTCAAATGGATTTGATATGCTATTCATCATGCGAAGGTTGGAATGGCTTGGTAGTACAATGATGGAAGAATTTTATAGGATAGCGACTGGTAAACAAATGACCTATGGGGAAATGTTCAAATATAATGTATTATGAAATGAAAACATAACACTTGCCCAGGGTGAAGATGCGATAGAATATACTTATATCAAGTTTGACGGAACACTGTTCTGGTACTCAATGACAATATTTCAACGTGAGTTCCCCGGGCGTCAGAGTAGTTTAAATTACATGCTTGATACTCTAGAGATCCCTTCTAAGATCGGGTTGAGTTACAGACATATAGATGAGATTGTACTGCTTGCTATTGAAACGGCCAAGATTCAAGATGAAATGACCAAATTAAATGTTGATTCGATGGATTACCATAACAAGATCGAAGAACTTAATTCAAGACAAAATAAAGTTATTAATAATTTACATGGAGAAGAGGGGTTGAAAAGCTTTGTACAGATATCCTTGAATACTGTTTCTACGATTCATGGTCAGTCCTATTGAGTATAATTAAGATGCAAAAACTGGTTTCATACCGATTAGATGCGATGATTTATAACTGTGAATACGCACAACCATTCTGTGGTGGTAAAACAAGCATGTTGAACTGTCTTATAGCTAAGGAGTATAATAAAGAACATAATGACAAGTCGGTATTGTACAGTATCAAAGATAAGAAGAAATTTCAAGGTGCGGAGGTGATCGACCCAGAGACCGGGTATTACATAGATCCTATTTATGTACTTGATTTTGCAAGTTTGTACCCGTCGATAATGTGTGAATACAATATGGGACCCGATACGCTTAGGTATGAAAAGCCCAATGAGAAACATCAAGTAGTACATCTCATAGACAATAATGTAGGAACAAATCAGGATATATACTTTATCCATGAGGATACCCAAGAAAGCATCATACGAAATATTCTCAAGGATCTGATAAAAAAGAGAAAAGAAGCCAAGAAAGAGCGTGACAAGTATATTGGAATCAATGATGTGATGTATAATATACTAGAGCAGAAGCAACTTGCGTATAAAGCATCGGCAAATGCATTATACGGAGGCCTAGGTTCACCGTATCTCGGTATTGCTATACCAGTGATATCACAGTGTGACCTTTGTTGCTCGGGAACTAATAAAAACTTTAAAAAATTTTATAGAATCGTATCACACCGGGGAATATAGAGATGACCAGAACATGATCTGTGACGAAACCAGTGAGGTAATCTATGGAGACACAGATTCTTGCCTAGCACGATTACCAAAGCGTATCTTATGTTGTATACTTGAAAAATACTACGGCCATTTGAAATATATCGAGTTAAATAATGGTTTGGTAAAGGAATATGAAGAACTTATATTCAAGATGTATGATGAGCTTACCAAAGAGGGAAGCATATTTGGTAAAAAAGTATGTGATGCATTCAACGCGTTTAACCGTGATCGTGAAATTAAAATAGTTACATTGGAATATGAAAACTTTTATTTGATTTGATGCTAAATAACAAGAAACGCTATGCGGGTTATAAATTTGAATTACAAAGCAATAGAGACCCTCCAGATTACTTTTTTTCAGAAATATTTTCTGGTACTAAAAATTATATTTCAAGAAATGCAAAGCTCTTTAACAAACGGCTCATATTTGATGAGATAGTAAACATATTTCTAACCGAAAGTGATGAGTTTAAAAAGTATGCGGTTATGAACCGGTTTTCCAATATTCATGTTAGGGGCCTGCCTATAGTTCGACGTGATGCAAATAACTCCTCTAAGGTTATGCAACA